TTGGGTCATGATCTTAGGATTTATTGAAGGTGTAAAATGTAGAATATAGTTTAGAAGACAGCCATTTGTTGAAAGAATGCGGCTGGGTTACTTGCAGGTAGCCCACTGTGAACTTTGGACTGGGTCACATTCCAAACATTCTGGGATGGGCCACTTTCGTTTGTAAAGTAAATACTTAAGCTTTTATAGAATTGTTTAACTTGGCATATATCAATCAGTTTAGGATGAAAAAGTTTTATAGAATATGTCAGTCATAGATTAGGTTATCCTTTGTTATGGGATTTTAAGATTATCATATGAAAAGGGTTTAAAGGCAATCATTGATTAAGTTTTCATGGATGAAGGTTTCTGGTGGGTGGGGGACGCCCCTCCCACATCTGACTTTGTGTATAAAAGACCCGTTGTAATTACCAATAGCACACATCGCTTCTGCACTAGACTGGAGTCCAGTCTCTTTCTTTCTCTCTTCCCCCCCCCCAATCGCCAATGCCGTCTCCACCTTTGGGGTACCTTGAACCCGGCTGGAGCTGGTCTCCGGCACATTTGTTGTGAGCTCTGGTTCCTGGTTCAGCCCACTCACTGAGAAAAGACCAAAGGCCCAGCGGGCTAACTCTGGTGCCCTGACCCCTCTCCTGGAAGCCCCTCACAGCTCCGTCCTCACTGCCAGCTGGGAGGTGAAAACCAATCTCAGCAGGGTGCCCTACCCGCCCTCCACCCTGAATTTCAGTTCTTGGACTGGATTCTGATGTTGGTGCCTTGGGTTTCTTTGGTGAGCGCCCCTGTGAAAAGGTCACCTTCATCAATTAGCTGTGCTCGGTGGCGACTATAGTCCTGGAGCTTTGGGAGGCTGAGGCTAGAGGATGCTGAGTGGGATGTGGTATGTTGCTCTGTGGAGTCTCTGACTCTGCCACAGAAAAGCATTTCAGAGTGAGTCCCAAGTAGAGTTTAAGAGAGAATTTATTAGAAAGAGGCATGCCCAGAGGGCATGGGTGCCTTAAGGGAAGGCACGGGCTTGTCTGTGACAAGATGCTTTATACACTTTTATAACCATGATTAAGCACACTGTGAGCTGAGAAGGGTGGGCTGCTGGTCATGAGTTCTGAGGACTATCTCTCCACCTTCTGAGGTCACAGGACCTTCTCAATAGTTAAAGTTATTGCCTAACTAGATGTGGGCTTTTCTTTTCTTTTCTTCTTTTTTTTTTTTTTTTTTGAGTTGGAGTCTCACTCTGTCACCCAGGCTGGAGGGCAGTGGCACGGTCCTGGCCACCGCAGCCTCGACTTGCTGGGCTCAGGCGATCTTTCTTCCAAGTAGCTGGAACTCAGGCATGTGCCACCATGCCCAGCTAATTTTTTTTTTTTATTGTAGAGATGAGGTCTCGCCAAGTTGCCCAGGCTGGTCTCAAACCTGCGGACTCAGGCAATCCTCTCACCTCGGCCTCCCAAAGTGCTGGGATTATAGGCGTGAGCCACCATGCCCATCTTTTTTTTTTTAAGTCTGGGTCTCACTCTGTTGCCCAGCCACGCTCACAGCCTTGATCTGCTGGGCTCAGGTGATCCTTCTGCCTCAGCCTTCCAAGTACATGGAACCACAGGTGTGCACCACCGTGTATGACTAATTTTTTTTTTTTGAGTTGGAGTCTCACTTTGTCACCCAGGCTGGAGGGCAGTGGCATGCTCCCAGCCACTGCAGCCTCGACTTGCCGATCTCAGGGGATCCTTCCACCTCAGCCGTCCAAGTAGCTGGAACTATAGGCACATGCCACCAGGCCCAGCCAATTCTTTTATTGTAGAGATAATGTCTCACCAAGTTGCCCAAGCTGGTCTTGAACCCTCAGCCTCAGGTAATCCTCTCACCTCGGCCTCCCAAAGTGCTGGGATTATAGGCATGAGCCACCATGCCTGGCCAGCTAATTTTTTGATTTATTGTAGAGATGAGGTCTCGCCAAGATGCCCAGGCTGGTCTCCAACCTCTGGGCTCAGGCAATCTCTCACCTTGGCCTCCCAAAGTGCTGGGATGACAGGCATGGGTCACCACACCCAGCTTAGATGTGGACTTTTCTTAGAACATCCTGTCTGAATTT